CCAGATGTTTTTTTAAGTGGTGACAGGTTTCTTGTGGAGTTGGAAAGAATTTGAATTTCTAAATGTAACTTATGTGAAGACTGCTGAATGATGGTTTCTCTGCAAAGGTCATGGTAAAGCACTGTTCAGACCTGGAACCCGGATGCTGTTACTCTAGTGTCATCTGTGCCACAATAACCTGCTCTCCATCTTGAAGGTCAGGACAAGTCCTGTGACTGTATGGGAGGGAAAAGGGATTGAAGCCCAAGAACTCACAGCCTCAAAATAAACTGGCTACATTTGATTACCACCTCCAATTTTTTATTGTTTTATGTATTTTGCATGTATGTAAGTGGACCATGTATGTTACAATGCCCATGGATGTCAGACTCCCTAGAACTGGAGTTATGCACGGTTGTTAGCTGCTATGTGGGTACTGGGAATCAAATCTGGGTTCTCTAGAAGAACAGCCAGTGCTCTTAACTGCTGAGCCATCACTCCAGCCCCATAATCTCCAGATTTTTAAAAGTCACTATTTTCCTTTGTGGAAATGGGACCACATTCCATTGACTTGCTTTTTTGATTTTTGAACAAATTCCCTTTTTGATTATACAGATCTAGTCTACTTTTGTGCGTGGTGTATGGTGTACCTGAGTGTATGTGCATGGGCATGGAGGTGTCTTCCATTGCTCTCTATCTCATCTATTTTTTTAGATAGGGCCTCTCACTAAAGCTGGAGCTCATCAATTTTTCAAAACTAGTTGGCCAGCAAGCTCCAGGGATCCTTTTGTCTCTGCCTCCCCAATGCTAGGATTATACACACAGGCCACGACACATGTACTGGCATTTGAAGTCAGATCCTCATGGTCACGTGGCAAGCACTTCATATACTATGTCATCTCAGCCCGTATTTACTTCTTTTTTCAGTCTTTTTGAGACAGTCTCCCTGTAGCCCCAGTTGGCCTGGAAATTGCTATGTAGACCAGACTGGCCTCATCTTAACAGAAATCTGCCTGCTTCTCCTGAGTACTGGGTGTGTACCAACACGCCCAGCTTAGTTTACTTTTTAATAACTGCAAATTAACCCAAGGTATGAATACATTACTGTACTACTTACTTTTCCATTGCTGTGATAGAAATACCATGACCAAGGGAACTTATAAAAGAGTTTATTTAGTTTACAGTTCCAAAGGGGCAAGGGTCCATCATGGCGAGGAGGCATGGCGGCAGAGGTGGCTAGAGAAGAGCAGAAGCTAAGTGCTCATATCTTCAAGCTGGCACAGAAAACTGAGTGTGACTGGAGATTTCCACAAGGCTCAAGAACTCTGTAAGCCCGACCCCAGTGATGTGCTTCCTCCAGCATGGCCACACCTTCTAAGACTTCCTAAAACAGTGCCATCAACTGGGGAAAAAAAGTCCAAATATTTGGAGCCTATGGGGGACATTCTCATTCAAACCACCACAATCAGAATTTGTCTGACTATATGTATTTAGATTTCTAATGATGGATATTTAGCTATTTTGTTTCCCATAATGAGAACATTCCTACAACAAAGGAATTTTGTCTGCAAAGTAGAACACAGAGAAAGATAATAGAAATGCACATGCTTTTGTAGGAAAAAAAATATTTTTGAGACAGGGTCTCACTCAGTAGCCCTGGCTGATCTGGAACTTGCTATGTAGACCAGGGTGGCCTCCAACTCAGAGATCCACCTGTTTCTCCCTCCCAAGTGCCGGGGTTAAAGGGTTGTATTATTAAGTCCAACTAAAATTTATCTTTATTTTTAGTTAAAAAATCATGTTGGTCAGTTATACAAACTGGAAAAGGTATAGCTTTAAACCAAAGTAAATTGTAAAGGCTACTTCACAATGCCTAGGGACATTCAGAGGTGCTAGTAGTAGGCAGAAGCCAGGGGCGATACTAAACAACTTGGGGCAGGATCCTCACCTCCACGCCAGGAAACTACACCAGCCGAAAGAGTGATGAGTGTGTGGGCTGAGAAGCCCTCTTCTAGCCTCTACACAACCCCCCTCATAGTTGCTGTCTTAGAAGAGTGGAGGACAACTAGGACCAATACATCTGTACTGTTTGTGCATTTTATTGCAATAAATGTGCACCTACTTCTCTGCACAATGAAGTCTGAGATGAAATCAATCTCTGTGGTTTCTAACACTGCTTCTGTACCTTGGGGACCAATTCTGAACCTTCTCTTCAGTAGGCTAATTTTAGTTCTTGATAGGAAATGGTTTCTAGTCACTTCACCAATTTAACTGCTGCTGAAGAACAGTGTTGAGCACCAAACTCTAGTTTCATTCTCTGACTAGTGAAAAGTCAAATGATCTCTTCTGGCTCACATCCAGCTTGTTTAAACACTTGGGTTTCCTACATCTGCTGTGGTTCATTTTCATCTTCTCCATCCTGCCCTATTACTGTTCTTTAAAATAACTCAGGGCCTTGTGGACACTAGGCAGATGCTCTACCATTGAGCTATATCACCAGCCCTGGTCTTTAAAATGTTTTTAGGGGGGCTGGAGAGATGGCTCAGCGGTTAAGACCACTGTTCTTGATGAAGATCTGGGTTCGAATCCCAGCACCCACATGGCAGCTAACAATTACACAGGTGTTTTTATATGCATGGCAGGCAATACACTCATACACATAAAATAAAAATAATAAATAAAATATTTTTAAATGTTTTTAAATATTTGGGGGGGCTCAGCAAGAGGGTAACTATCAGAGGTTGGTTCTCTCCACACCATGTGGGTCACAGGGATCAAACTCAGGTTGTCAGGCCTGCCAGCCCTTGTCTTTTAAGTCTTAACCCCCACACTAAGAGAACTGGTAACCCTTACTCCTCTAAGAACATGCCACCCTAGTGTCTGCATTAGAATTAAGTTACAACTTAGCTGGCAAAGGCACTCTCAACACCTGGCCTTACTTAAATCCTGTCACAAATGCATTAAAAGAAACACACCTAGGGGGCTAGAGAGATGGCTCAGCAGTTAAGAACACTGAGTGTTCTTACAGAAGTCTAGGGTTTGAATCCCAGCACCCACATGGCCGCTAACAACTGCCCATAACTCCAGTTCCAGGGGATCCGACAGCCTCTTCTGTTCTCTGCCGCACTGCACAACACCGGTGCACTTACCTACACTCATACACATAAAATAAACATAATAAATTAAATATTTTTTAAAAATACACCTAAACAGGGTAAGTTAAGCTATTTTAGATTCTCCTAGTTTCATTCATTCTTAAAATTTTTTATTTATTATTATGTGTGTATGTATGTAGTTTATACCTGTATGCATATGTGTGGAGGCTAGATAGATGTTGACTTTGGGTATCTTCCTCTGTCACTCTCCACTTTTTCACTGAATCTGAAGCTCACCAACTCAGCAAGAGTAGCTAGCCAGTGAGCTTCAAGGATCCTCCTTCCACTACCTCTCCAGAGCTGGGACTATAAGCGCCAACCCCCATGCATGGCTTCTTAAGTGGGTGCTGGGGAATCTGAAATCACAGCCTCATTTTGTGCTACAGGCATTTACCAACTGAGCCGCTCTCCAGCCCTATTTTACTCGTTTTAACAAGCATCTAGTGAGTACTTAGAACACTGAACTGATCGATGAGATTAATAATACAAAGGGGAAAACTATTCAGAAAACTTAATGGCTTTACAACTTACAACTTTCTACTGGAGTTACCTCACTGAATGAAGGGTCCTTCTGCAACCTCACTCTTAAGACTGATTTCGGTCTGTTTCAGCGTTTGTGATACCTAAACCTTTTCCGTCTTTGGGGCCGATCTATGAGCTCAGTACGTGTTAATCACTTTCCCAAGCTACATAAGAAAATACCTGTGACAGGTTTTTAAAAACTCCCTCCCAACTTTCTACTGGAGTTACCTCACTGAATGAAGGGTCCTTCTGCAACCTCACTCTTAAGACTGATTTCGGTCTGTTTCAGCGTTTGTGATACCTAAACCTTTTCCGTCTTTGGGGCCGATCTATGAGCTCAGTACGTGTTAATCACTTTCCCAAGCTACATAAGAAAATACCTGTGACAGGTTTTTAAAAACTCCCTCCAACCCTAAAAATAAATGGCAGCAGTAACTTTTTTTTTTTTTTTTTTGAGGCAGTGTCATGCAACCCAATCTGACTTCAAACTTGCTACATTCCAGAGGATGACCTTGAACTTCTGATCCTCCTGCCTCTGTCTCCACCTCCTCAGTGCTAGCATTACAGGCATGTGCCACCTCGGCTGGTTTTACGGGACTGCAGAGGGACTGAACCTAGCTAGGGCCCTGTGCAAGCCTATCAGGCACTCTACTAACTGAGCTCCATCCCTAGCAACAAAGGCAGCAAGCAATTAACTCTCAAACGTACACGAAACCACAGTAAATGCACGGAACCCCCAAGCACTCATGGTCTGGGTTCGATAACGCATTGCAAACGAATTCCACATTACAGGAGCAAAGAATAAGGGGGAAGATCTGAAGATGCACGGTGACGATGATGATGTGGGCAGGGAAACTGTCATTTCCCGAGTCCCACTCAGAGGAAGCCCGGCCCACGTGCGACCTGGGCCCGCAGCCGCCGCGCTCCGCCCCGCCACGCCCCCGCACAGGCCCCTAGCTACCGGGTTTCACCCACCCCCGAGCGCCGCGCGGCCTTCGTCGCGACCCGGCCGGCGCAGCAGCTCTGGAGGAAGGCAGCCGAGAACAGAGGCAGGTGGGCGGGGAGCAGGCCGGGTGCCCCAGGACTGCGGTTCCCTGGGTCGGCTGCTCCCGGAGGCCCGCGCCCTGCGGTTGTAGTGAGGGGCGCACCCCCACAGCCCTCCCGGCCCTCCCGCCGCTGCCTCAGACCGTTGGCAGCGCGGCCCCACCCCTCCCGCCGCCGCGCCCCGTCCCGCCATCCCCAGGCCGTCGAACCCAGCGGCTGCGGCCCGAGGCGTCCACCCGCCCGCCGTGTGAACCGACCCGCCACCGGCGTCCCTAAGACCGTGGAGCCCGGCCACCATACCTGTACTTTCCTCCGCCCAGCCGTGTTCTGTCGGTGATGGGCCGCCATCTTGCATGTTGACACTCCTACGTAACTTCCGGGAGAGACGGTGCGGGCGGATGTCCCGCCCTTTTTCCTTGGGTGGTGGGGCAGAAGGTAGGCAGGGCGTCGGCTTTTCTGACCGGTGTTGAGGTTAAAGCGCTTTTAGAGAGAAATCCCTAGTGTAGACATGGTGCTGAGCGAGGGAGAGTAGAGGGAACTGTTGTAATTTGGGTTCCTCTGTGCAGACATCCTCTGTGTGTTTATTTTTCTGGGTCAAAACCAACATGCGGAACCGAGACATGCCGGGTGTCAACTGTTACTTGTTACTTACTTGTTTGGTTAGTATTTGATATTATCACTATGTAACCCTGGCTGGCCTCAAATTCACTGAGATCCACCTGCCTCTGCCTCCTGAGTGCTGGTTAATTAAAGGCATGGCCTATCATGCCTTTTTTAAAGGCGGTTTTTGAGCGAGAGTCTCACACAGCCCAGACTGGCCTCCAGTTCACTAAGCAGCTGTGACTGGCCTTGAATTCCTCCTGACCTGTCTCCACCTCCAAAATACTAGGATTACAGGCTTGCACCACCAGCTGGGCTTGGTCTCATTTTCTGAGACCTGTGCTACAACTCCTATAAAAAGTGTGAAGTCTTTTTTGTTGATCGTTGTTTTAATTTTAGTACTTGTTACAGGTTCTGTGATGTGTACATAAAACCTCCCTGATTCTGGGTCTGCTGATGGTAAGGCGCATGATGGTCTTTGGAGTATCCTCAAGTCAACTCTCCACACCTGATGTTATTTTCTTGTCAAGACAAACACCGATGAGTAGAGACAGGCATTGAATTTTTTAAACTGTACTTTATTCAGAGAGCTGGTCACCTGAGAAGGCAGTAGATTAACATCTCAAAAACTTGCCTTCCATCTCAGCTCCAGCCAGTCAGTCTTACAGGGAGGGGAAAAGAAGGGAGTCATTCATTCCAAAGCTGAATCTTACCCCTCTGGTCTGGTTGGTCAGACTTATCACTGAGCATTGATGGTGTTGATGCTTTTTATCCTCTGCACTTTTCCTTCATTATCTTTTTCACTGGAGCTGAGTTTGTATACTCCCAGAGCTGCCCAGCCTTTCATTCCTCCCAAGTTGCCACCTGGGTTCAGGGTTAGCTGAAAGCAAACTGTTACCAGTGTGTAAGTACTCAGCTATTTACAATATCTGTGTTTGGCTCATTTCAACACTGTGTAGTACAAATAAATGTTCCTTTATAATATAGACTACAGAAGTGCCCTATGCATCCCCTGTCAATTCTGTACTTACTGTTTGATTCACTAAAGGGGAGACATGAATGTTTTCATGTAACTTGTTTGGTTTTTAAAAGAGAAATTAATATATTTAAAATTATTTTTTTTAAAAATATGAAATTTTGGGCTGGAGAGATGGCTCAGCAGTTAAGAACACTGGCTGTTCTTGCAGAGGACCCAGGTTTGAATCCCAGCACCCACATGGCAGCTAACAACTGTCCGTAACTCCAGTTCCAGGGGATCCGACAACCTCTTCTGTCCTCTGGGGGTATTGCATGACACGGGTGCACTTACCTACATGCAGGCAATACATGCATACACATAAAAATAATAAGGTATATTTAAAAAATATGAAATTTGGAGGGGCTGGAGAGATGGCTCAGTGGTTAAGAGCACTGACTTCTCTTGCAGAGAACCCAAGGTTGGTTGCCAGCACCCATATGGAAGCTAACAACTGTCTATAACTCCAGTTCCAGGGGATCTGATGCTTCTGTCCTCTGTGGGCACTTAAATATATGTAGGCAAATCACTCATTCACATAAAAAATATGAAATTATTAACCAAAACTATATGAAAAGGGCTGGAGAGATGGCTCAGTGGTTAAGAGTGCTGGTTATTCTTGCAGAAGACCTGGGTTCAGTTCCCAGCACCCACATGGTGGCTAACAACCATCTGTAACTCCAGTTCCAGGTGATATGATGCCCTCTTCTGCCCTTCACAGGCACATACATGGTGCACTTAAATACATATATGCAAAACACTCATATATACAAAAAATAAACTAAATTGTTGTAAGTGTATGAAAAACCCTATGGAATCCCAATACTTTGTAAGATAATTTAAACTACAGTTTAAACTGGGCATGGTAGCACACGCCTTTAATCCCAGCACTTGGTAGGCAGAGGCAGGCAAATTTATCTGTGAGTTCAAGACCAGTCTGGTCTGCATAGCAAGTTCCAGACCAGCCAGGGCTACATAGTGAGACTCTGACCCAATAAGTAAGTAAATAATCAGATAAATAACTAATTTTTTTTAAAAAATAGGAGCTTGAACATACATACCCTGCATGAGTGGACAGTGATTCTCTTAGAAGACATGGGTTATTAAGTGAAAATCTTAGTGCCAGATATATAACTTCTTAGGAATTATTGGTCAGGGATGCTCCAGAGGCTCCCACAGCAACACTGGCTATTGCAATTGCTCTTGGTTGCCCTTCAGAGCTAGATGTGAAGACCCTATTGCTGAAGACACAACACATTCAGTTGCAGGACATGGAGAAATCAAGCTGACTGATTTCTCCATGACCTGAAAACTTCCAGGAAGGAATTCAGGCTTGGTACTCTAAACCTGGCCAAAATCCCATGACTTGAGAGGTCACAGACCCTAGGGAAGAACCTACTACTGTTGTTTTGCTAAATGACATGTCAAACTGCCTTCTAAATATTTGTACTTGGTTGTTTTGTTTTTTAAATATATTTTATTTTTATTCTACGTGTATGAATGTATTGCCTGCATGTATGTGAGTGCACCCCTGTCATGCAATGCCTCGGAGATCAGAAGAGGGCATCGGATTCCCCTGGAACTGGAGTTAAGGACAGTTCATAGCTGCCATGTGGGTGCTGGGAATCGAACCTGGGTCCTCTGTAAGAGCAGTCAGTGCTCTTAACCACTGAACCATCTCTCCAGCCCTGAATATTTATACTTGTACCTGTAGATTAGTGCTGCTCTCAACCTTGGCCAGAGAAGCTTCTCTCTGCAGTGGTCAGCAGTTAATGCAGAGGCTCATAACTGATCAAAGTGCTGAGACTGTGTCTGTTGAGCACTCAGCCCTAAATAGGACATCTTTATCGACCCCTGCCCCAAGGCCCAGGGAACATGGAGGAAGAGGGGCAGAAAGAATTAAGAGCCAGAGGATGGGGAGTAGTGCTGGGAAATGCTGTCTTTAGGACACAACATGGCCATTGCACCCGTGAACTCACTGCAACAGTGGACCTGCACAAGATCACATCAATAAGATCAGTCAGCAACCCAGCAGGCAGTACTAATTGGACTCAGAGGCCTATTAACAAAGAAAGAGAAGCAGACATAAAGTGGGGGGGTGGTGGTGCCTGGGGGGAGTGGGAAGGAGGAGTTGGGGAGTTCCTGGAGGGAGTGGGATAGGGGGAGAATTGGTGGTGTATATGATGATGGTGCATTGTTTACAGGTATAAAATTGTCAAGGAATAAATACAGGATAGTCTATTAAAAATGCTCATAGAGTGTTTAGCATATGCTTGACATATAGTAAGTGCTCAATAAAAATACCCCCCACCCAATTATGAAATTGGACTGGGAATGTAGCTGACTTGGTAGAGTGCTTGCCTAGCATGTGTGAGGCCCTAGGTTCAATCCCCAATACCACAATAAATAATAAATAAATAATAACATAAAACCATGTAGAACTGTGGTTTACAATGACCACTCAATGATTATTTGAGTATTTTCAAGCATGGATTTTAAAAATAGCACTTTAAGCCAGGCGTGGTGGCACACACCTTTAATCCCAGCACTTGGGAGGCAGAGGCAGGTGGATCTTTGTGAGTTTGAGGCCAGCCTGGTCTACATAGTTCCAGGACAGCTGGGGCTACAGGGAAACCCTGTTTCAAAAAGACCAAAAGAAAAAAAAAAATTAGCACTTTAGGACTCATTTAGTCAAATAAACAGTGGTACAAACCTAACATGATTATCAGAGTCATGGAGAAACTGAGAAACTATGAGCTTCTTAAAACATTGTAAGGATCTTCCAGCAAGAAACCAGGTACTATGACATATGATAGACTGGAAAACCATCATTAAAGACTACTGCAGAGATAAAGCAAGATTGCATAAGTAACTTCAGTAATGTAGTATGAAACCGAATTTGAGACATCAGACTCTGTGGACTAAAATTTACACCCACTGTAATTTTTGGGGGACTAGCATTTCTGGACCCTTGAGCCAATTCAGCATACAAACATTTACACAACAGAAAAGGTGGATTTGTGATACCGCTTTTAGACTTTTATCTTGCTCATTTGATAAATACAGTGGCTTCTAGTCTTGGTGTGCAATTGGCTCTACCACTAGAGGATGCTGAAGATGTATGTGTCAAAAATTGTGTTTTTGTCTTATCAGGAAGAGCTGTTTTAAGTACAGTCTTGAAAACTTTTCTTTCAAGTGATAAGGAGTCAGAAGTGTTCAACATTTAACACATTTCTGAACACACTGGGAAGAAAATACCCTTTTACCTGTCTTACTGTTTACCTGGCAGTGATAGGAACACCAGCCAATCCATTTCCCATTGTAGAAACACTCTGGCTTCAGTTCAGGCATCCCACTGGAGGGCAGTAGAGACCCATCCAGGCGGTCCCCGATTTCAGAATGCTCTGGCTGTTATGTGACATGCCAGACCTTAAAAAGGCTTAATACTTCCCATTATGAAAAGTCACAAGCAAAGTACCTCTTCAGGAAACCAGTTTTCTCCTATAAAAATGTAATTTATCATGAAAACAAGCTACAAGAAAATAAAGCACAGTTTGTGTGTTTGTAAAGTCAATTGGCTGTCTGCAACAGTGGGCTCCATACCTGTGCATTCAAACGACTTCAGATCAAAAGTATTTGAAGAAAGATTACAACCTGTCCTGAGCACATGAATTTCTTTCTTGTCATTATACATTAAACAATACAGTATTTCCATAGCATTTGCATTTTTTAGGTATTAGGAGTAACCTAGGGATGATTTAGAATACATACAAGATTG